ATTCCCATGGAGCCTGAGCCAGGAAAGAGCCGGATCCCATGGGGCTACGCTGCTGGTGCGGGGGTTCTCCAGAAAACTGCTYGTTATTTTTGAGGTTTTTCAATTAGATTTGATTTTTTTTTTAATTCAGCTTTCTGAAAGAGCTGGCCCTGCTAAATGCAGGCCGATCTTGAGTGCGTATTAAAACACTGCAGCAAAGCAGCGTTGGCTACGTAACCTAAGCCAGCAGATTTACCTACAGAGGGCAAATTTCACTAACTCTCAGAGTTTAAGGGATCGGCACAGCGAGAGCGCGGTACAAATGCCTGCTTTCTAGCTGGGTGGGTGCACGGTGTGCTCAGTGCCATCCCTGTCGGCCAGACCACAGCACGAGGGCAGCCTCGGCCAGCGGCGACAGCGACCATTCTTGTGAGTATAAGGACTAACAAAACAAAACCAGAGTAACTTCTAATAATAAACGATAAATAATTTGTTCAAAACTCGAACAAGAGAAAACAGAGGACGGGGGAAACGCTCGGTGTAGCTCAAAATGCAGAGCAGATGGGAAGGGGCTAAGGAGCAGGTGGGAAGGGGTTGATTGAGCGGTTTATGGTGCAAGGAAGTGACTTTGGAGGGGGGTTGGAGCCTGCAGTTGCTGGATACTTTCCTTGGCATGTCCTGCTYCCTCTGATTGCTCCAATACTGAATTTTCCTACAGCCAAAGAGCAAAGGAACGTGCTGCGGATTGCTCCAAGGGAGAGGGAAGCCCTAAGGGACTTTGCTCCCTGCACACCACCAGGCTGGCCCGGGACTGCGGCCACCTGGCCCTAAGGCCACCGCATGGGCAACCCCTGCACCAGGATGATGAAACRACAAAAAAAATGAAGAAATAGGCTGAAAAAAGCAACAGAAATGGTAACACCTATAGCATGAAGAGCAGAGATTTTGATATAATCTCTTGCAAACACTCTGTTTAGGTTCAACTCTGTATAAGCTGAAACACATGCAGTTCCGTCTCCAGGTGAGGAGCAACTTCTTTACTGTTAGGGTGACAGAGCAGTGGAACAGGCTGCCCAGGGAAGTTGTGGAGTCTCCTACTCTGGAGGTCTTCCAAACCCGCCTGGATGCCACCCTGTGCCACATGCTGTAGGTGTGCCTGCTGGAGCAGGAAGGTTGGACTAGATGATCTCTAGAGGTCCCTTCCAACCTTAAATATTCTGTGATTCTGCTGCTGGCTCTGCACAGGCCATCTTACACCCGCTGAAGCCCCTGCTCCAGCAGGGCCACCCGGAGCACGTTGCCCAGGGCTGTGTGTGGCCCTCTCCCGAACACCTCCAAGGATGGAGGCTCCGCAGGCTCCAGCGCTCCCGCCCTTGCAGAGGCTTTTCCTGCTGGCCAGAGGAGCGGGACTGTGGCCCGAAGCGGAGCAGGGGCGGGAGGAGGGCAGGGGAGCCCGCGGGCCGCCCGGCGCGGCAGCCGGCTGCACGGCGAGCGCACGCAGGCCTGCGCCGGCAAATAATTAAAGAGCGGCTCAATAATTAATGCAACGCTTTATGGAGAAGGGGAAAAAAAAACAGGAACAATGCGGGACAAATATCCCACCCTGCCTTTGCAAGCGGAGCTGGCGCAGCTGAGCGAAGCCTCCGCCACTGCCAGCGCGCCTGGCGCCCGCTCCGGAGCAGCGTCACCGACGTCACCCACGGTGCAAAGACACCCGCTGCACAGCGGGGCCGGCCCCAGGCCGCCCGGGCAGCAAGGCGCACCCTGCCTCCCGCCTCGGCGCGCTCCGCTCGCCTGCCGACTGCTTCCGACACAGGGAAAAAAGATTTCTGCTCTGAATATTTTACTCCCTCTGAACTTCTAATGCTCCATAAAATTATTTCAACAGGAATAAATCAAATAGCCCTCAGATTTATTTTTAAACGCATCTATTCACTGTTCCCGGAATTTCTGTACTCAGAAAAAAAGGAAATATTTTGTAGGCACAGCATATGGGCGAGCTGAGCCGACTCCACTGGTCACCTCATAATACAGGACGTAGAAAAATCTCTCCTTAAAGATTCATTCGAGCTGCAAAATTCTTGTTCACAAACCAGGAATATACAAAAAAATATAYATAATAAAACTGCTCTGAATGTCTTGTTCTCGCCAGAAGCCTCTTCTCTTGCCAGGCTCCCTGTCCTCCCCACGCAACCCGGTGTCACACGGAGCAGCCGCTGCCCCTCGTCCTGCCCACGGCAGTGCCATTCACGGCATTTGCTGCATTTAAGGATTTTTTTYCCCCTATTTTCCCCCAGACTTGGCAGGGTTTTAGTGAGACACTGCTTGAATATTACTTTCCATCAGTCTTTGGCTCTGACGCGCSCTGTCAACCACGGGAAAAAAATACCGAGATTTAAGAGCCGTGATGAACTCCACTTGCTTTCCCACAATTTTGCTTATAGGGCCTTATTTATTTTTAAGACACTAGCAGGTTAAATTTGCCTCCGATTGGTGGTGTACCTGCTGTAAATCAATCACCCATTTCCACGTGTGATTTATTTCGCTTGTGTCTTCTCAAATCTGGCTCAACGTATACGTGCGATAAAACGGATTTTGCAAATTCTAGCGCCGGTATAAATCTTTTCATACCGGCTGCTTTTAGTCCGATACTAAAAAAGCTTTCTCTTAGCATACAAATGTTTCTCTGCAGCCCTTGCAACGTAAGCACTGCAGCACTCTGCTACCTGATGAAAACCGGGAAATAAAACGGAGTGAAAAGGGCCTACGATGATTTCCATTGTTCCATCAAAGGAAAAGCACTCGGATTCCCACCACGGATGTTCATTCATGTTCCTGGTGAAATGAAGGTGTCCTCTCCATCCTGATATATATATATATTTTTCCATTTGCCAGTTCTTTAACTGCATCCACCCCGATGAAGCCCGGGAACAAACACATCCTGGTGGCGGTTCCTTGTTGGGAGCGGATTCAACTACGTGTGTCAAAGCACACACTTATGAGGTAGGAGCACGTTGATGGCAACCTGAAAGGACTGAGAGGAGCACCGAAGTCACAGCCAAAAGTCTTAATTTCAGGGTCTTTATGCAACCGCACAGCACGAATTCGCATAATGGCATAGACTCAAAATGAGCTGAGCTCCGAGACAGAGTATATCATAAAACCATTTGAGTACTAATTTTCAGTTATGTGCCTTGCTTTGGCATGGTAATAAATCACAGAAACCCACTCAAATTGTCCCAATCTTGGCAAAATAATTGCCTTAGAATAGCTTTCCGCAGTCTTGGGTCCAAAGAGTGATGAACAGTAAATTGAACTGCATTTATTCATTTGAGGAAAAAGACTTTTTCTCTTGTTTCCTTCAGAGCCACGTTTTGGATTGAGCTCCAAGGAACTGGAGAAGGGGGTGCCTGTGAAAACGCCAGTGCTCAGACAGGTGCAATATGTCATCCTGAGGCTTAATGATGCTTCAAAGGGACTAGAAAGGGACCCCTGCTCACTGGGGTGTTCTCCTTCACCTATTCTCCCCCATTTACATGGCTCGCTTCCATCCCTGYTGCAGCTGCTGGGAATGAGGTGCTCATCAGCATCTTCCAAACGAGATAAAGAAGGACCCACATTCAGTTCTTTGGTAAAGCCCMGTTTTGTTGAAAAATGCCAGGGAGATGAGTGAAAATGTTTTGTTTGGTACATCTCAGACTCAAAACTCATTTTGGCAAGGCCAAGGCGGCTCCACTCGGCTCTTGCTCCTGGCCCGTTGGGTTGGGGACCTGAGAGCAGGGAGTTCTGCTCCGGCACAGCTGCCCACGGGGCTCTGCTCGGACACCAAGCCAARGGATCACTAACAGAGGTGCTTAATGTTTTCAACGGGAGTGCAAATGCTCTGCAGCTGATCCGTGCCCTTGATGCCACTAGCAATAATAATAATAATAATAATACCCATTTTCCAAGCCAAAAGCAGAGTCAGGGGAGCTGAAAGTTGCCAGGAACTTCAAAAGCAAAAGAGCATTTAGATCTGCTCGTAGCCAAGGCCAAGCAAGTAAACAAGGCGTAAATAACCCCCAAGTGCCCTGGGAGATCTTTCCTTCTAGCCAGCTCTCCTTTACCTATTCCCATATCCTTCAGACCTCTGCCTTGCACAGGGATGGACTGCTAGATCTGCTGGGAGGGGGTGTCCTCCCTCTGTGACGCTAGCCTGGACACCAAGGTGGAGGAAGACCCTGCTCCTCAGGCATGGGCTGTTGAGGGGACAAGGGGCACGGGCTGCCGTGTCTCCACGGGACCTGAATCTTTAAGCAGTGGCAACCAGTGTACAACAGAAAATGAACCAAGGCTTGCATCTCTAAAACACCAGTTTAATCACAGAATCCAAGAATGGTTGAGGAAGGGACCCCCAGGGATCCCCCAKCSCAGCCCCTGCTCCMGCAGGGACACCCAGAGCACGGGGCACCCGGGCGCATCCMGGCGCCTTGGGAAGATCTGCAGAGCAGGAGCCTCCGCAGCCTCCCTGGGCAGCCTGGGCCAGGGCTCGGGCACCCTCACACCAAACAAGTTCTTCCCCACGGGCACATGGAGCTGCCTGGGCTTCAGCTTGTCCCCACTGCCCCTTGTCCTGGCACTGGCCACCACCCAGAAGAGCTTGGCCCCTTCCTCCCTACATTCCCCCTTCATGAACTTATGCATGTCAATCAGATCCCCCCTCAGCCTTCTATGTTCATAGAATCATAGAATCATTATGGTTAGAAAAGATCTTTCAGATCCACGGGAGGATACTGAAGCCAGAAGACAAGCTGTGAAGCAGGACATGAATCCCAGAAGGGTTGAGGTTGGAAGAGACCCCTAGGGATCATCCAGTCCAACCCCCTGCTCCAGCAGGGCCACCCAGAGCACGGGACACCCGGGTGCATGGAAGATCTCCAGAGCAGGAGCCTCCAGAACCTCCCAGGGCACCAACTCCACCACGGTGCCAGACCCGGCGAAGCCCCTCCCGAGCGCGGGTCCCGTCGGCACGCGGCGCCTACCTGTGACGAGGAAGCTGCAGCGGCCGGCGCCCGCCTCGTTGATGATGTTGCAGTTGTAGAGGCCGTAGGTGTCGCGCGCCAGGCTGCTCACGGTGTACTCGGTGGAGTCCTGCACGTCGAACTGGCCGGTGCGCAGCAGCTTGCCGCCCAGGCGCCACTCGTAGGTGAGCACCCGCGTCGGGTAGGCGCGCAGCACGCGGCAGCTCATGGTGACGCCGCGGCCCTGGCCCTGCCGGATCTCCAGGAAGGGCGGCTCCACGGCCGGCGGGTCTGCAGGGAGCACACACGGGCAGYGTCAGCACGGCCACCCCGGCCCCGCGCCTTCGGGCTCCTTCCCCGACGGCCTCAGCCCTTCCCTTTTGCCTTTCGCTAGCTCACTGCTAAAGGAAAGGGCACTTTTTGCAGAAAAGGGCACTTTTTGCACCGCCCTTTTCACTGCAAGGGCAGTGYAATCACTGCAAAAGAAAAGGGCAACCTGCACCACGAGACTGCAGCACTTGTCTCTGTTCAGCCCTGCCGTTTAAATCCCGTAACAGGCATGCGGGACGTGGAGACGCTCGCAGCTACGTGCAGAAGAGCAACAAGGTGTTTGGCCTCTTTTAACAAAAAAAGCTCATCTCTTTGAGATCGCTACAAAGAAGGAAGTCTGAGAGCTGCCTGTGCCAGAAGGAGATGTGAAATCTTTGCATCCATATTAAATGTGCTGTTTTGCAGGCGAAAAACAGAAAAGCGCGCGCCGCGCGAGGCGCTCTGCGGGAGCAGCCGCCGTGCTGTGCTGCGCGGCGCCCTCCTGCCTCTGCCCACGAGCACCTCGTGCGCAGGGGCCCGCCGCGCGGGGCCTCGGGCAGCGATGCCAACACCATCGTGCTGGGTATTTAACCGCTGCCATCGCAGACGTTTCCCCTTGCTCCCGACAGCAGCCAGGCCACGAACAATGTGCACCCCGTGGGTGAAAGCCCACGGATCCCAGCCYGACCCGTCCTCGCAGACCAAGCAGCCCGCGGCGCGGTCCAATCCCCCGCCACATCCTTAGTGGGCGCCTTGACTTCTGCACAGCTGCAAACAGCTGTGAAGGAAACAGCAGCAACCTTACACCCTCCGTGCTGCCCGCTCCCTTTCGGTTCATAACACCCCACAATTTTGGGCTTTCAGAAAATTTCATCAGAGCAAGACTGTGCATTGGCTACGCTTTGCAATGACGTTTTCTCGTTCGGCCTGTCCTGCTGTTTCCATCAATTCCTCGTATTTACCCTTGGAAAAAGGAGCAAACACTAATACCCTGCTCGCCTCTCCATGGCAGCTGTGGTTCTAAAGACCTTTATCCTATTGGTACTCAGTGCCCTCTAGCTCTAAAAGTTTAAGTTTATTCTCTGTACAAAAGTGYCATTGCTTTTTTTCTCTTGATTTATGCATTTAAAAGAGAATTTAGCAGAATTTATTATTGTTAATATTGTTAATACTATTTTTTTTTTAAATTACAGTTTCCTCTGCCTTTAAGGTCAAATCGTTTTTAAAATACAGATTCTCCATTTGCATGCGCTGATGATGYCCAGTGACAGAAAAGGAAATTAAGGTTGGTTGCTCATTTACCACTATACTTTTAGAAGTCCAATAGAAAAACGAAGGTATGATAAAAACTACAATTTATGGCCACAGCCAGAGCTAACAGCTTATTTTTGCATTTCACGTTTTTACCAGACAGTGACTTTAGAGCCTGCAGAAGGTGGTGGCGTCCCGGGCACCTCGTGGAAGCTCGGAAGCAGCCCGGCTCGCTGTTTAGCACTTCTGTGTGCTTCACTCATTTGCATCAGCTCTTCCCGAAGGCTTTGGCAATTTGATTTCATTTACTTTGCTGCAGTTAGCCCTATCTTCCATAATTCCAGCATTAGTTTTTGAAAATATATGGAAAAGCCRCAAAGGGAGTACACATCATTCTCTTAAACAATTATCTTTGGGAAAWAAACAGTCTGAAGTTAAAGAAGGCTTTATATTAACGTTTCATGAATTTTTTAGCCTAAGTACCTTCCTGTCTCACGGATTATACAATGGAAAATGAAGGCTCCCAAGCAAGGACAGCCCGTGTCTCTGCTCGCTTTACCCAGGCAGCTGCTTTCCGCGGCGCGGCCGTTTCAGGGTTTATATGGCAAGATCTACACAGCGTGTTTGCCTGGGCTACGCGGCCCTGGGCTCAGACTCCACCTCCTGTTTGGGTTTTCCAATTTATCTCCTCGCCTAAGCAATCTAATTTGCTTAAGTGGGAAGCGGGACGTGACAGCCGAGGCGGGACCGGCTCTCCTGTTCCTCACACGGGCAGCAGCAGCACGTTGCTCCGTGGCTTCCACTGCARTCACCATTTCTGGTGGCCCGGAGGGGCCACGGGATGGGGTTTGGGAGCCTGCACAGAGYGGGCATTGTGCAGAGAATGGCTCTGCTCTAAAAATGTGCAAAACAAAAAYGGGCTGAGGCCCCTGCACGGTTTCCTACAGGCGATTTGCCCTCACGCAATCCCTGGTTTGGAGAGCAGGTTTTCCACTTGAGGTGGACAAAGAGCTCCAGAAGAACACTGCAATATCACATAAATCAGGGATAAAACCCACCCACTTTATCGGCTGCAAAGGAAAGGGAAAAAACCCAGTTCCTGCTAGCGACTACCAAGTCTCACCCAGCGGAGTCTAAGTATCCTGCTAAAGCAGGCAGCTCATTCAAGAGCAGAAAGCTGTCCCTTCCCAGAGAAATCCAAATCAAACATGCACACATTTGGAAGAAAAAAAATCCAGTAACCAATATATAGCTCTAGAGTTTAAAGCTTACTAATGTGGAGTATAGCGTCAGAGTGTAGAATATATTGAAAAATACGTATTTATGTATATATATTCCCTTGCTTCCCACGTAGAGCAAAGGAAAGCAAGTCCGTATTTACTTGGATAAAGGAAGAAATAAATCATGGACCTACTTGGATAAAGGACGAAATACATCATGAGCTCTGGTTTCTCAGGAAAATGAGAAATGCTGAAAATTTGGGCAAGAGATGGGGAGGAAAACATCCCTCTGGGGAAATGGGCCATGTCCTGCAGTGGTGGCCTCCAAGAGCCCGCTCTGTCCTGCAATGCCACCCAACGCAAAGGGACCGACCAGCCGCGAGCGCTCGGGCACGTCTGCAGCTCGGCACGTGGCAAACTCCGGGGTTCAGTAGCTGTGGGCTCACCCCGGGCCGGGCTATGAAGAGCAGACCAGCCGGCTGGAGCATTTTAGGAAACGTGTCCAGGCAATATGGGAGATCTCCATGAAAACGACAGCAGTGATTTCCCAGCCAAAGCCAGGTGATGGACACTATCAGCACAGGTAATGGATTTATTTCAGTGAAATGAAAATGTTATGTCTGGAAAATATTTGCAGTGCTAGAAGGAAATTGAAGCAGAACGATAGTGCCACCCGTGCCTTCATGAACAGGTCCTGCAATCCAGAAACAATCCAGACCTTCCCAAGCACCTTAGTGCTTGCACAGGGATTTGCCTGCCCTACCTGTGCACAAAGGGTTAACCAAATAAAAATTCATTTTTATGACCGGGTTCATGTCCCCAGGGATGCAACAGGATCAAATCGGCCACCAAAGGCAGTGCTAAACTTCACGGGTCATCCCTTCTTCCAGTCATGTGCCTGGAGGAGGTATCTGACTGCTGGTCCTCCAACGCAACTTGGTTGCAAAACACAAGTGAGATGTGATTTCCTAACTTGCAAGCAGATATTTGCACGGAAAATGAGCCTTTTATGCGCTTTGTGCTAGCGGGGAGATACGTAACAAGAGTAACGTAACAAGAGTAAGAGTACGTAACAAGACAAATAGCAAGGGGCTACAACCCCACAGCGTGCGGGTTTGGAAACCCAAGGGAAGGCAGAGCTCTTCTTTGTCTTGGTCTTGGCAGCTAATTTAAACTTCAGGCCTAACAGGGTCAGGTTTCAAGCTAGATTTTGCAATTTGCTGGATTCCAACACCAACAGGTTTTTTGCATTGTCTCCAAGAGTCAGTATGGTTGTGTGTGGTTTGCAGAAGGTCTTAAGAGCCTTGGGAGCCCAGCCCTTATTCTCAACCCTTTGATAAATCTGAATTTCTGGAATCAAACTGCATCTTCTCAAGGCAGACATCTGCGGGGATCTTCCTGCCTGATGCCTCTGTCTTGTTTTGGCTCTTTGACAAGACAATAAATGTTCTGAAAATGTCGAACAAGCAGCGAGCATCGTGAAGCAGCTCTCAGTTTGACAAGATTCAATATTTGTGATGGAAAGCATGTAACTTTTGCAAGTGAAAAATATTCAAATGAACAAACAAGAAAAAAGCTCGGAGTTAAAAAGCCTTAAAAATGGAGTTAAGCTGCAATATTAATCTACCCACGTATCTCCAAATCATTATTTGCTTTATTCGACTATCTCTAGCTAGGATGTGACTGTTGAATAACGATGAGTTGCTTTGGAGGCCACGAAGCTGTTGCACCTTTCAGCACCACCTAACGCTGCTGCTGGTGTCTGACGGGCTTCAGCAGGGCCACATCCCAGGCATGGCCAAGGGTGTCCTGGGCAGTACCTGCTTCTGCCTGCAGGTATGGCTACGTCGTGGAAGGAAATGATATTTACGGCAAGTCAGCTCAAAATTTACATAAAAATGTGCCTTATAACCAACCCTTGTGCTGCAGAGCTGCAGGCATGAGTGAGGAGCTCCAACTGCTCATGGCCCTACAGCAGAGAGCAAGGACCATGTCTGGAGAAGATGACCCCGCTCTGCAGCTCTCACGCTCACCAGAGACACAGCCGATGACGTGAGAYGTGCAGGGAAAAGTCTGTGCTTGCTCTAGAGCATTTCAAAGCTGGGGATTTATTGCACACGCAAAATCTGCCAACTTTGCAGGTCGGTCTAAGCTGTGCTTAGTTTTTCTAGCCATGCACTTGGTCTCAAAGTGTTTTATGGATCCATAAAAGATACTGCAATCCCACAACAACTCCACAACGCAAAACACGGCAGATCTGATGGTGTCTCGTGTAACTGTGGCGCTGGGTAGGGCTGCAGGCCACACGTGCTGATGGTGCTCGGATCTGCTACCCAACAGCAGCCACAGCTCGTAAATCAGGCGACCATTTAAGGAATGGATTCATAGGGAAAAGAAAAGRAARGAAAGAAAGAAAATTGCACTGAAATTGCGTCCGAACCCAGGAMGCCTGTTTTAAATTCTGCTCTGGTGGCAAAGGTCTCGAGCATGCACGTTATTCTCCCTGGAGCT